GGGGGGGGGTATCCATGATCGGGGTGTCTAGTCCCTGCTATCTGTGGGGGTGGGGAGCCTTGCCAGCTTCTGGAAGCCAAAAATACCCCCCCTCCGCGTGGCAGAGCAGAGCTAGGGGAGCCCCAGAGGGAGGAGAGCTGGGCTGCAGCTCCGGAGGGACGCCGTCTCCTCTCTTTCCAGATGCGTTTCTTAATCGGTCTGCAGGGGGAGGGAGCGAGCGATGGAGGCAGGATCCGGGCAGAACATGATGACAATGTTTGGTTCTTTAGGGAGGTGGCGTTTCAGAGACTCCATGTTTCTCTGTCCCTGGGAGTCTGGGTTATATTAACCCCGTCCTGGAGAGCCCCAGGCCCATAGCTTTTAAATCGCTTTCTAAAGCGCTGAAACAATTCCATTGTTGTCAATTAAACAGGGGATGTGTTAAATAAAAGGATTCTGAGATCATCTAGAACTAAAGTCTTAACCCTCAAGGATCACAGAGGTGTCTCAAGTGAACAGCTGACAGGTGTTGCCAACCATTAAAAACAGGCCACCTTCCTTATTTCCTTCTGCCCTCTCCCTGACTGCAGGAATCCCCATTCCAACAAAATTCATTTGCAAGGCAAAGGAGTGAAGTAACCAAATCACGTGAGGTCAGACAGCTGCAGCGTTCAAGCACCCTGTTAGAGCAGAAAACTGGGACAGACTGGTAAGTTCGTCTGCAGCTAATCAGGCCCGAGAAACCTACAGCCTAGAGCCCCCCGGTCCAGTCTGGGTCACGCTGTACCCATACAGTCCAGAGATCGAGTGGTTTATCTCATTCGAACCTGCTGGGCTGTAGGGGAGGCTGTGTGTCTGCAAGGTTTTTACATTTTCTTCAACTGAACCAGCTCGTCATTGGCTTGATTCCACCGCCCAGAGCCGGACCCCTGCAGACCGAGCCGGCCGGCACAGGCGCTCCGCCTCCGCAGAACGGGCCCAGGGCAGGAAGAGCCTGTTCCTGTGCTGCCGACGCCGAGTGAGACTGGCTGAGCTGTGCCCTGCCGCCGCGGAGAGCTCGACCCCCCCTGAGTGACCCTCCCGCCCCCACGAGCACGCGGCACCTGCGGCCATGCCAGCAGACACGGGCTCTTCCGGGAAACCCCATTTCCGGGCTCCCGTCTCGTCTCTGCAGACGAAATAAGGAAACAAAGAGGGCTTCCCCGAGTGTAAATTCCAGATCCCAGCTATCTTGTGTGGGCTCTGAGCCGGAGCTTTATTTACAGCACAAACTTGGCCCTTTCGGACAAAGTGCTGGATTGGCCGATTCCTCCCTGCTCTCCGATTTCCCTTCGCTGTTTGTTTTTGACAGATTTATTCCAGGAATGCTTGGCCAGAAACCGAGAATCACCTCGTCTGACTCTGGGCCACTGTCCTGCAGGTTCTGTTCTCATTCCAGATCAAACTTCCCAGTGAACGTCTTCAGGACCGGCAGGAAGATCCACTGGAGGCTGAGGGCTTGAAGCCGAGTCAGAAAGATCAGATAAGATCACTTTATTAGCCCTATTCAATTTCTTGCATTAGGAATTAGTCTTTTTGTATCAGCTGGGGTTAAGGCTCAGGGGCCCAACAGAGTAGGATTCCTCTGCCGGCCACGGGATTTGAACCGGCAACCTTCCAGCCACAGGCGCAAATCCTGAGCCACATATCCACTGCTCTGCCCCCAAGAAGCCCAGGAAGAGGACTGACACAGCAACCCGGGAGCTAATTAGTAGCTGACTGGGCCCAATTTAGCCCTGGCAGTTTAAAGAATGTGTACCCCTTGGGGCCTGGACTGGCGTGCCTGTTGCAGAGAGCCAGCCAGCCATGAACAGAAATGGGAACGTGCGAACTCCGCACAGAAGGTGACCCAGCCCAGAATCCTTTGCACACTGGACCTCTCTTTTCTACACCGACTGAGTTTTGGCAATAAAAGTACTGAAATAAACCCAGGTGTGTGAGATGTCATTATTTTCCTCGGAGGATGACCATCTCCTTTCACAATCAAGCCCTTCACTGACGTAGGCTGTCTGTTCCCAGCCCTTACACACACTGGGGCTGGGGCTGGAGCTGCTGTTTTGTCAGTGCAGTAAGATCCCAGCCCTGGCACCAGAGGCAGAGTGCAGATACTCCAGCGAAGCAGCTGCTGAGGGGCCGTCAGGCTGCAGGTATCGCCTGAGGGGGGGAGGGGTGGAGCAGGTGTGGGGTCAGCAGCACAGGGAAAACCCTGCTCTAGATCAAACTGGGCTCCTGCAGAGCTCTGCCTCTGCCTGGGCACAACTGACCACCCAGGGGTCTCATGGGGACCTGGAGCAGGGCTTCCCCTCAAATCGGTTCCAGACAATGACATTTATCCGCCAGGGGAGACGCGGGCCACAGGACCAGAACCGCGGCCGGAGAAGGTTTGTCAGCCCGGCTCGCCAGCTGCGATTTCAGCAGCTATTGCGGCAGACGGTCCGGAGACTTTCCGTCCCGAACCCTCCCTAAACCGGATTTAAACAATCGTGTTTCATAAAACCCCTGTCTGTCCGGGTCCTTGTGCATTCGCTGGACCGCTCGGTCGGTTCGGAGTTGACCGGGGTCCGAATGATCGAATTCTAGCCGAATCCGCGGAAAGCGGGTCGAGAAGCGAATCCCGAGTCCGCTGACTTTTCCCCACACATGAGGAGCCGTGTAACTGTCTTGCATAACGTCCCTGGACGGGTTCACTGCGCTCCTTCACGGGTTCTTCATCATTTGGGGAAGAATGTTTTGGGAAGTCCACCGTATGAGCCAACATCAGTGTTCTGAGGGCAGAGTGTTTTTTCAGCGATACTCGGCGGCTACCAAGTACACGATAATTGTATTCCGGCAAATACGGAAGTTTTAATTTAGTCATTTTCGTGCATTTTTAAGATCTACAGCTTCATATGCTAAATATGTACAGAATCTTCACGGGGGGCGAACAAATTAAGAAAAACTTACACGTCTCTTGAAGCCGGGAGAACTGGGACTCTCTCCGAGCCGCCGGTCACTTCGTCAGACCCATAGCGCTGCCCTGTCTTCCTCGGCTCCGCTCACCCGCGGCGGAGCCGCTCCAAAACATCCAGGTTTCTTCCAGAGGGAAAGCCAGCGCCTCTCCCGTCTGCAGACCGGCCTCAACACACCCGTTCCTTGGCGATCTCGGCCTTAAGCTTTCTTTAAAAACGGGGAGCCCAGATAACCGAACAGCCCTCGGGGGTGATTTTGATTTTTAAATATCAAGATTTTTGGGGGGAGCGACGCGTTCGCGTGAATCCGTGGCCCTCTACGTGTTTTTTCCCCGCACTGTACCCCCTGAGAGACGGCTCGTACCTGACACCGACACCCCGGCCTCTCTCCTGTCTCTCTCCCCGACGGTGTGGAGTGGGAGACGGGCGGGCGGGGGCGGGAGAGCTCTCTCGGGAGCTGCAGGAGGAGGAGGGCTGAGCCGAGACCGCACCCCTGCGCGCACAGGTGAGCGTTTCTGCGTATTTTGAACCTCCATCCCCAGCGCGTCACCAGAAGCACTTATTTTGATTCCAGCGGTGGTGGAGCAGAGGGGGGCGACCGGTGAGCTCCAGTCGTTACTGGGACGGGTCAGGACGGAGCTGCCCCGTGTCCCGGCCGTGGGCAGCACGGGTCCGCTAGCCCTGGGGAGGACAGGAGGCCCCGAGCGTGTGAGTGTGTGTGTGTGTGAGAGAGAACCCTGCCCCTCCCGGCGCCCTGCGCACATCCAGCTCGCCGTATCCAGGCGACACTGCGGGGTGGCAGCGCGAGCACAGGTCCGTCTGTTTGTTCGGTTTTCATTTCGGCTGCTGTTTCCACAGGCCTGGGCCCGCTGGGACAGAATGACCGCTGTGCGTCTCCCAGGTGGGGGCCACTGGGGCAGAATGA